CCGCGCGATCAGCGTGCGCTCGCAGGCGGTGTTGGCCATGAGCCACACGGCGCGCACGCTGGACGGGTCGATGCCGGCGCCCTGCGGGGTGAGCGTGTCCACCGGCAGCCGGCAGCACTCAAGACGATGTGACAACATGCAGGCACAAGCGTACCACCCTCCAAAGGCCGGACCCCAGAGCCAGGGCCGCTGCTCGCCGCAGCCACCAGCGGCACCTGCCGCCCCGCCCCCGAATCAGCCGCCGCTTCGCGCGCGCGTGCGGCAAGCTCGCCCCCATACCCACACCCACGGCCCCCCAACGTCTCCGCGCCCCCGCCTGCGCACCAGCTGCTCTGCCGTGCGCGCCACGAGCTCTGTGCGGTTGCGCCCCGTGCCCGGCAGCTTGAGGGTCAGCACCAGCAGCCCGCCCGGCTTGAGGAGCGACAGCAAGGGCAGCACAACCTGCGCACAAACACGCGGGGACGGGCGGGGACAGGCGCGGGTCGGCGAGCGCGCAGCTTGAGCGTGCCCGCAACTCTGCAAAACAGGCTGCGTTACTGGTGCGATTGCGCGTGAGCGCTAGCAACAATTCTGCAAAAAGCACACGTGTTTTTTGGGGGTGCATGTCAGAAGCAGTACGCTCCTCCCCCGCGCGTGCGCATGTGCGCGCGCAAGCTTGCCCTCCCCTCAGCCCCGGCCCCTGTCCCCCAGTGTCTTCCAACCTCCATGATCAGACCGCCCCCTCACCGGCGCGACCTCAAAGGGGTGCATGTTCATGTCGCTCACTAGCACCTCCGCCCCGCCCTCACCCTCTGCCGCCTCACCCTCCCCGCCGCCGCCGTCGCCGCCACAGCCGCCGCCGCCGCCGCCGCCGCGCAGCAGTGCGCGCACCGCGCCGGCAGCGTCCTCTGACAGCGCCCTCACGTGGTGCACGCCCGGCAGCGTCAGCACCTCCGGCGCGAGCGCCCCCGGGTCGACCGCCACAACGCGGTAGCCGAGGGCCCCCGCCAGGTGCTGCGTCCACGCGCCCGGCGCCGCGCCCAGGTCGATCGCCCAGGGGGCGCCGCCGCCGCCGCCGCCGGCGCGGCCCGCGGCGTGGTGGGCGCGCGTGTCGAGGCCCAGCAGCTGCGGGGCGCGCGGGGCAGCCAGAGCGAAGTGCGGTTTGGCAGGGGGTGTGTGCAGGGCCTCGCGGTTCAAGGCGACCTTGCAAGCACCAGCGGCAATTCCGCCCGCACCTGCCGCAACGAGACCCGACCTGGCCTCCCATGACGCTAGCCCTGGGAACCCCACAAACACCCACCCTGGGGCCCCTCAAAACGCGCCCTGGCACACACTAGGGTTCAGGGCCTAGGGTCGATGGTCTAGGGTCAGGGACACACAAATCCCCAAAACCCGCCCACCCTCAGGGCCTCGTCCAGCTTGTGCACCGCGCTGCCGGCCGCCCCGTCAAACCGCCCGTCCCCCGGCTCTGGCGGCATAATCCAGCCCCAGCCGGCCGGCACGAAGCACCAGCGCAGCTCGTGGCGCGTCACAGCGTTGCCAATGACACCGACCACCCCGTCGCCGTCGGGGCCGCCGTCGCGCTTCCGGGTCGCGGGCCCGCAGAGGCCGCCGCTTCCCGCGTCGGCGGCCTGGCCGTCCCCCGCCTTGGCTGCCGCGGCCCGCCGCCGCCGCCCCGGGCGCCCAACAGTGGCCTGGCCCGCCCATGGGCAGCTCTGGCCGTTCCACTCTCCGCGCTGCCCCGCGGTCCAGTCGCCGCCGGCGGGCAGGCGCGCGACGCACAGGTGGTGGCTGGGGGCGCGGGGGTCCAGGGGTATGACGTCATCGACCAGGTCCTGGGGGGGGGGGCGGAGAGAGGGGTGCGTGCATGAGACGTGCACGCGCGCGTGCGCATGTGTAACAGGAGGGTGTGTGTGTGTGTGTGCTTGTGCTTTGAATTGAATCGTGCTTCACAAAGGGAAGTGCTCGGTGGGCAAGGCACATGCATGAGAGTGGACACGTGGACCGTCCATTACCAGCGAAGGCCTGGCCTGGCAGTGGGTTCTTTCCTCATGCATTGATTCTAGGGATGCGACGCCCCACAAGTGACCCACCACGATGCTCGCCGCGAGCCTGGCAGGAGACGAGAGGATGCGCACGCCAGTGACGCCCTCCGGCACCGCGCCCGGCGCGCGCAGCGCCGCCGCGAGCGCCGCCTCGTCGCCCGCAGCGCCGCCGCCGCCGCCGTCCCCGCGCCGCAGCCATATTGTGCGCTGCACGTGACGAGAGAGGCCGGGGTGGGTGGCGATCCAGGCCGCGACCGCCTCGGGGTGGGGCCGCACGTTGAGGAGGGCCACCATGCCCGGGCCAAAGTGGTTGCGGTGCGGCCCCACCTCGAGGGCCTATGCACCATGTATGTGTG